CTCCTTCTCCTTGGCTAGCAGCGACACGCCCAGCCTAATAGCGATTTCTGGGCAATTTTTGTCCTAGTTTGATTTGACCTGCAATAATCAGCTTGAAGAATAAAGAAACTCCCAATAGCATATCAATTCTGTGAGAAGAGTCAAATATCGGATCCGCCAGTGTTACACCCTTCGGTGGTTGCCAGTTCAAACCAAGAGGCGAACTTGTCGGATAACATTGCGTAATTTCTGTTAACACACAAAAATTCTCCGTGGCTGCAAACCTTGTCAGTCTAGATTTGAAAGTGGCATTCACCTCACCAATAGTCTGAGATGTTGCATTGCCGATCCCACTGAGTCGCATACTTGATTCACGCACTTCTAGATTCACAGTCGAAACTAATCTAGAAGTAAGAAAGTTAATTTGAGTCTGATACACATCTACAATTATGATAAATTCTATCGTTTCCTTTTAGTCGCTAGGAGACTTACAGATGACTTCGTTAATAGTGCGCTATGTAAAGAACTGTTCCCTTGTTGTGATCTTTTAACCTCCTGAAACCGCTGCAAGGGTTTTAATTCTTTAAGTTTTGGGCATGCTTTTAACCCATGGGCGCTAGCACAAATGTAATACGACTTGCCAATGTTGCTTTTTTGCAATCCCATTCGCTTTCCCACTTATCGAGTGTATCATCATCAAGTTTGCTGCGAATCAAATGAAAAACTAGCGCGTCGAACTTTTAATTTCGGGAGATTGCTCTTCTGTTCTATTTTGGCTTGGATTACACAAAACTGACTATAATTTGCTTCAATTAGGCTTAACCGTGCCGTCCAATCTGCAGGTGTCATTGAACCATTATGTTTCGCAATATAATTTTTGTTGCGTAAAGAACCGCTTCTTTTAGCGAAGATCTTGCTGCAGTTAAAGCGAAAGTGCACGCAAAAGGAATTTAAAATCAATGTCAAGTCAAAGTCAGTCAGGTTGCTGCTATGTCGCGATGTATGTATGTATGTTGGCATGTGAGCACACAGAATTGCGCTCCTATACTTTGGGCACGTATGCATACAATACAACTGTAACTCTCAATATGTTACTGTACATTTGTATGAATATTGCCCTTTATTGCCAATACTACATGTGACAAATTTGCACACACTTTTTAAGGCTGATCTACCAATCTTTTGACACTTTTTTAATTCATAATACTTATATTCACACAAATCGAATAGAACTTAAGATGCCTGCAAGAAATATTAAATGCACCAAGGAAGCCAGACTCACAATTCAAGGTTCCGGCCCTCACTGGCCTATTCTCTTAGTAAATTAAGCTTAATTCCAATTAGCTTTAATGTTGAGCTTCTTCCGGACTTAGACCTTATCCTCAGGTCCCTGCTCGGGCGCCAATGTTCAAGCTAGAGTCCTCCACATGCGTTGAAATTAATAATTAGTAGAAAAGTTACCTTCCAAGCAAAAATGCAGATCAGTTCCGCTTCAACTCTTTTACTCGACAGACAAACTGATTACAGTTCAATGTACAATACATCAATCGACAATATTGATTAACATTTCAAGGAATGTAAGCAAAAATACTAAGTATCGCTGACATCGTTACTAAATACTATATATTAACTTGTGGCGCGAATACTAGCTCTTATAGGTTCAGAGTTCCTTGCGTTCATACATACGGACAGACGGTCGGGAGCTCCCGACTAGAACCTCTTACTTGTTTGAGCTATTTTGGTAAATAATAAAAGCTACAGTCACCAAACTTGACATGTAGCTTTTAGAATAGTCTATATACCTGTATATCAAGTATCTTTCATTTCTAAGCTATCACCACCTCCCCGCTACTACCTCATAGTTATAAATCAAGTAAATAAACCTATTTATGCTGCCCACCAATATAAGCCAATTGCAATTGACTTTTTGAGAATACTCAAATATTCTATAGCACCATAAGATGTACTGTAGAATATTTCATGAAGATCGGTTAAGAAACACAAAGTGTCAAAGCTATTAAAGAAAACGTGTTTTGGCTTTCCTCGTATCAGCGGCAGCAAGCGCAAATTCCAAGAATTTCTGTATTCATGTACACACACACATTCATGCTCGTCTTCTTTGTATTCTATCAACAGTATTGCAATTGGGATTGTATACATTTTTGTGTTGCTACTTTAGTTTTTTTTTCTTATCAAGACTCAGTTATTGGTGTAGCTGTTGAGTAGAGGCGGCAGCAAGTAATGCGGTCAGTTGCGAGTTCGACCCCTGTCAAGGGAACTTTTTTTTAATTTATGTATCTTTATTACTACTATTGCAACCGAGCGCGTAGCGCGAGTTGCATTTGATGTTGGAATAAGAGACCTTTCTTGGTAGAAATGAGATTCAACGGTTTTTTGGGCGAAGTTTAAAGTCTTGTCCGATTTGCATCAAACTTATATTCAAAGCTCTACAAAAAAATAATGAATACGTGTTTCAGCGATTAAGGAAATTCCACCTGCAACTGTCGAAACTTGGCGAAAAAATTTAACTTAACTTTTTGGTTTAAGGAATTTTTAAAATAAAAATATTTAATAAATGTAATTACATTTGCTATGAAATAAAAAAACCTCATTAAGATTCAATTATTTGTGTGGATGTTGGGTAGGGGCGGCGGCAAGTAATTTTGGATGTTGCGAGTTCGAAACCTACTGGGGAAACTATTTTTTTTTGTTTTTGCCAGGTGTGGCTGTTGAGTAGAGGCGGTAGCAAGTAATGCGGTTAGTTGCGAGTTTGAACCCTGCCAAGGGAACTTTTTTTTAAATTTATCTTTATTACCACTAAAGCGAACGAGCGCGTTGGTGTTAGAATAAGAGGTTGAGGGTATCGCCTAGTCGGGAGCTCCCGACTAGAACCTGTTATTAAATATTTACACAGTCAAAGAATTTGGTGTCATATTTATCAGATATGTGAAGAAGTGCACTTCATTGTTGTTGCTTAGCTTATTTGCAATATTTCTTAAGTATGTGCGTTAAATGATTATATGTAGACTCATCAACAGTTATTTTACCGAATTTAAGCAACTAGAGCAATACAGGCAGTAATAAACTATACTAGGGAGCCCGAGGCCGGAACAATCGACCGCATTCTATATATTTCTATATATTTCAGTGTTAAAAGCTTTTCTGTTTATAATGTTCTTTGTAAGAACTCTAATAAACACGTGATAAGTGGCTTTGCTCTGATATCCTTGACTAAATGATTTCCAGAAAAAATCAAATGAATGTATCGCAATCATATGTGCTTCGGTGCATTCGCTTTACGCGCATTTGAGGTCCATTTGCCTCTGTTTTCCCTGTATTCAAATTTTGTAATAATATTATAATACAAGTTAGAATAGAGTGTTACCACCAACTATACAATAAACTGACATGTCAAACAGCGGAATAATCGTATCCCGATAAATCGTCAACGAGGCAACCAACAGGCACACAAACGCATAAATGCTTGGGATACGACTATTTTGCTGTTTGACATGTCCATGGGTATAATTATTGCAGTTCTTTGCGCAGATATTTTCATTAACCTTGCCAACGCTTTGCTTGTTCACCTTTTTATCCGTAATTACATTTTTAAAGTTTTTAAATATCTCCACGGATGGATAAGCCCTCTTGTTTTCATCCCTAAAAATAACAACAATAGTTACTGTAATATTAAATTAAAATCAATTTTGAAAATGTACTTACCTAAGCCATTTTGCCTTCATAAAGTGTGAAGAAGTCAGCTTTAGCCAGATCTTAGTTGGATTTAACAACATATATGTATGTACGTATCTTGATTAAATAAAAGCATGCATAAATGTTGAGCTTGATGAAAATTTCTTAGAAAACAAAATATTTTGCCATATAAGAATGGCATCTGTATGATATAGTGTTCCATGTTAATAAGATTTTGCATATATACGAAGAGCATAGGGAAACTAAGAAATGGTCAAACAATCTAATCACCAAAAATGGTTTCCATACAAAAAACTACTTTACGATCGATCGTTCTTATTGCAGCTACATATATGATATAGTGGTCCGATCCGGCCGGTTCCGACATTACTAATGCCTGCAATGGAAAGACATACTTATGCAAAGTTTCAAGACGTTACCTTTCAAACTGAGAGGTTAGTTCGCCTAGAAACAGATAGACTGGTATAGCTATGTATATCAACTCGGCTGTTGATATTGATCAAGAATACATATGTACATGGTATAAAGATATCAAAACCATATAATGAAGATTGTGAGGATGCTTTAAAAAAAGAATAAAATTACAAGCGATCTAATAATTATATAATAGCTTAGCTAAACTAAACTACAATACCACAGAAAATGAGCTTTATGTACATGGAAGGACGTACAGGGATGGGGTATAAAAACAATTTGTGAATGTGATTGTGATTCTTTAAAACATGTATTTTTAAAGATGCATGTATGTATGTACATACATACATTTTGAGCGTAATCGGTTGAAAATTGTATTGGTGCGGCCATATTCACCACAGAGCAGTTAATGAACAACAGCTACAGTGCCGGCATTCTGTTTGCTATCTACATACATACATATGTACATATGTATGTATGTATTTTATTGTTTACTTTAAGCTACGTAAAATAAACTCCTTTTATTACAATCTTACAATTGCAATTTTACTTGACTTTACAAATTATATAACTTTTTAAAAATTAAAATAACGGCTGAATTACTGCACTTTCCATTTATGTATTATTTGTTTCGTTATTAAAAGTACAGTACATTTTTTAAACTCATACAAGCAAAACAAATATTAGAACAATGCAAATAATTAATTTTGCTTTTTCTTTCATTCTGAGCAACTGGAAACTGCTATCGCATAATACTACCTTATATTATTATACCATGCTTTTGATCAGTAAACCGTGCCTATGCTCTCGCTATTGTATGAATGTGTGTGAATGTATGTTTGTATACTCTGCCTCTCACAGAACGCAGTTCGCCGACAAGTAGCCGCCAGACAATTTTCGTTTTCAGTTTCTCCACAACTTCAGGCGTGGTAAGTTGTGTGTAGGTAAATAAGTTGGTGCACAAACTCGCAGCGAATGTTTAGGACTGTTTCCGTCAAAAAATATCAGCAGTTTAATAATTTAATTATATTACAGCAAACGTTAAATAACCATCTCAAAATGTGTAAATGTCTGGCCGGAAATGTCGCATGTTGGTAAGTTTAAATTAATAAACAAAAAGTGTTTGCTCTTGTCAGTGTATTTGTGTATACATATGTATCTACATATGCATATGTACATACGTTCATAAACAAATACTTTGCGTACTTAAAAGTAAATATAAATGTATGTGTAAGAGTACAACATGCATACAAATATGCATAGGTATAAGTATGTGCATATGTAATGTATACGCAAATGCATATGTAGATTTATGTACATGTGTATGTAATATTTTAATTTTTATGTTTATATTTGTGTTTATTTTTTGTGCCTATGTATGTATATATATGCATATATACACATACACACAAGCAAATACCGCTAGAAAAGCAGTAAAAAGATACCAAATAGTTGGAACAATCTCCAGTACTTGTGAGGTGCAGCAGCTATACACTCATTTTAGATATGCCTTGCCTTGCGGGAACAAATGTTGGATATCATATTTAATCCCAAAAAATGTCAAAAAGATCGGTCAATAAACCACGAAGTCCTTCAAGAATGATTTTCCCATAGTTTATGGGCGAGGAAAGAACTTATATATGTATATGTACATATACATATATATAGAAGGAAGCTCCAGTATTTGTTATAACACTTTAGCGTACACAATATATTCCGGGCGGGCGCTGTAGGCAAGAGAAATCTAAACGTGTTTTTTATTATGCTCACTTAAATACACTTGTTTTTGTTATTAATATTATTAAAAGTGTATAGTATTCTGCTAAACCATATCAAACCATCTTTTTAAATATGTTTGTAATGAAAATATAAATGATACTAGAATGGATTTCGGACCCGGATCCTCATTTTTCAGTTTCTTAACAGGCTGATTCGCTTAGAAATCACCCCGAGGACTGAATTTATAAGCGTACATACTATCAAGTCTGTCTCTAATAACGGCTAATATTTTACATTATATACTTGCTGTATGTTCAGTGAATGACCATACAAATGTATAGCTATGTACATACGTACGTACAAATTATTTTAAATTGAAAAGCATGCATAAGGCTTACATTCTGTATGCGGTTCCATGCAAATATCATGTTATGTTCATTATGTATGTAGGCATGTAAATACATATAAACTGTATATATTTATACTCATCATCAAACCATTGTCACCCTTATTTTCTACAGCTAACTTATGTATATACATACATAAACGCATGTTTGCCTGTTCATTTTTGTGTATCTCTATTTGAAATGCGTATTTGCCCGGCTCCAGCAAGTCCCGGCTCCACTCAGGCGCGACAGTATAACGATGTTTTACTACTTGTGCTACCCCCACTATAGAGCTCATCAAGGATATCTTTCAAATAGCCGACAGCTGGGCGGAAACTTGACATTTTTTTGCATAAGCATGCCGAAACTAAATAACTCGTGACGACAAGGGTTGGAAATGAACTTAGGGACTTAATCGAAAACGCCTTTTCATACATTTTCATTACTTACCCTTGCAGAGTATATAATAATATTATATAATAAAACTTAACAGGATTGTTTGAGCTCCAATGACTTCAAACAATATATATTACATTATAGTTTGTTTATTTAACTGAATTTATGACGATATGTCGAAGATCCAGCCCGTGCTCTCTTTTCAAGTTATTTTTGTGATTGTGTAACCTATTTATATAGCTCACAACACATATTGTACTTATTTCACTTCTGATAAAAATAATGTTAAGGTATTTATGTATATCATATCATATGCCAAGGAGCATCTTAAAATATATATATTATTAATCAGGGTCTCTTATTAGTCCTTGTTTTTTTTTCTGTTGGCCGGATTCAACCTCTTTATCATATAACTTAATACTTCCCGACTTATATGTCATGCTCCTAGAGAAAAAATTGATCCGCAGGTCAAAAATCGAAGTTTAGTTTAAAAAGTCTTTTTTTATAAATGTTTATTGTATTGGATAAAATAGCATACATTTTTATTACAACACAGTTGGCTTAGGTGATGTTTCCCAAGCCTGGTGGGTCCTCAGGCTTTATCGTGGACAAAAGTTAAAGGCGGCTTTTTTTGAATAAGGCTGCATCGTCACTTAAGTAGTCGGGAGACTCTGGGGCGTCTCCTATGTCGTGGTTAGAGGAGGTACTTGAACGATCTTCTCTTGAGCCTCCTAACTACACACCTCCCTGCGAAATCTCTTGCTACCCGCTTGCAGTGTCGCTGCAAGCGTTCGTTTTACCGGTTGGCGAATTCTCCAAGGTATTTGGCGTTCCTGCCAGGATGAAGGGGGCTGCCATCTTTCCAGACTGCCGCAGTCTTGCCTCGCCTCAGTGTGTAGTTGTTTTTAGAATATCTTAACATTGAACTATTATAATAGATAGGACTAGCTCGTATTTCCTGGGTTAAATTTTAGACATCAATTTTTCACTCATCTAAAATTGGGACTTACATTTTTAAGTTTAAGCTCCACGTCGCACTTTTAATTTCCATTGATATTTAAAAATGATTTTTGATTTAGAGGTGAGATGCTTTAAACCCAAAAAAACAATTTAGATCTTTGGAAATCAGTTTGAAATCAATTGGACGAAACCTAAAACATTGATAAGGCTTGCATGTTGCAAAAAGTGAGAACACTCTCTAACATCTTTTTTGGGTTCCCTACAAGGTTCTTTGGAAAAGAGGTCTGGAGCCGATCGGATTGTAAACAAAAAAGTTTCATACATACATATGTATACAAATTTATTTATTTATAACTATATTGTGGCCAAATATATATACATACATATCAGATAGTCTAACTCCCTAACTGTTTATTTTCAGCTGCTTCAGTTGCGCACTTAGCATGCTCGTATCGATAATCAGTGCGTTCTTTGTTGTGTTTGTTATTGTCGGCTTACTAGTCTACTTTTTTTACTACCACGAGCAAGAGGACGATGTCACCAAAATTAAAAATGATTTACAAGATGGATTTAAAAATACTATCGATAAATTGAAAAGTGGCTTAAATCAATAATACAAAAGGTAGCTAAAAACAATAATTGTTTCTATATATAAATATACTCATTGGAATACCTTTTATGTTTCAGTGCCGATAAGTTGAAAGAAGCCTTGATTAAACTAGCTTTTACCGGATGTTTTTCAATTCATATAAATCATCATGCTGACCTACAAATGCTGTTCATTGAAATAGCTGAACATGTAATTGATTGATAATGTTTTGCATTTAAAGCCTTCTGAATGTATGTACAAACATAACATAGGGTTTGATAAATATTTATGTGTGCTTATATATTTTATAAAATGATCCTTTGAATCTCCAAAAATTTATTTATTTCAATTCATAGCTTTACAAATAAAAAGTAAATATGCTATATGGCATCCAAATGTATGTAAATACCATAGACAGCTTATGGCATCTAAATGTATGTTGATACCATAGACAGGTTATATCTCCACAAATGGCTTTTCTTTTTTGGTGGAACCGATGGTAAACATTGAAAAATTCTAAATCTGTGTGTACTAAGAAATACCCTTCATACCAAACAAGTAAGCAGTTCTAGTCGGGAGCTCCCGACTAGAGGATACCCTGAACCCTCTTCTTCCAACAGACGATATGTAAAAAATGAAAGATACTTGATATATATATATATACTATTCTAGAAGCTACATGTCAAGTTTGGTGACTCTAGCTCATATTATTTGCCGAAATTGCTTTAAAAAAAAATAACAGGATTTCAATATCGATTTTTATCGATTACTTGGAAACGGGGCAAGTTATCGAATATCGGAAACAAACTCGATCTGCGCGGGCACTAGAAGGACAGCTAAAATTTCAAGTCTCTAGCGCTTATAGGTTGTGAGATCCTTGCGTTCATACATACGGACAGAAAGACGGACATGGCTAGATCGACTCGGCTGTTGATGCTGATCAAGAATATATATACTTTATGGGGTCGGAGATGACTGTTACATACATTTGCACAAATACATAGTACCGTTTTTACCCATTTTCAATGGGTTCAGGGTATAAAAACACAGCATTTCCAAATCGATCTTTATGGATTATATGGAAACAGGCCATTTTATCGATGATTTGTAAATATGTTACGGCATGGACACAAGGAAGATCTACGTATCAAAATTTTCCAACTCTTACTGCCATATATGAGTGGACGAACAGATAGACACGGCCAGACTCGTCTAAAGATGTTCACTTAGAATATATATACGTAATGGCGTCGGAATGTGTTCTCGTACCTATTACCTATATTTGTGCAAAACCAGTATTCCCTTTTTTAATGACTACAGGGTATAATAACTTTAATATAATATGCAACTTAGTGTTTTTTTTTTTATCCGGCTTTGTATTGGCTGTTTGTTGCGCTGTTTGCTTTCATTACCCCATAGCTCAGATCCATAGGTCCAAATAAGTTTTAGCACAGAGTTATACAGGATTGTCCGGTAAAGAGGGCGATCGTCAGTGGAGGTTACTTGCCCTACATTTCAACATTGCAACTGGTACAAACGTTAGCGCAACAATTATACCCTAATTATTATTATAAATTGAATCTCTCAATTTTTAACATGGTGGCCTACAAGCGTTGCTTGTTGCTTACTTTAAATAGATAGCTCATAATCGATTTATCTATAAACAAAAAAAAACTAAGGACAGTCTTAAAAGACGTCGGAGCTGTGCGAATTTAGAGCGTCTTATTTTCTGTATATTTTTAATTCACAACGCCAACTCTTAGTTCTAAAGGTCCACTTGGTTCAACTGCTCAAAAGTAAATAAAGTTTGGAGCTTGTAGTATCGATGTTAATCTTTTCAATTCTAACATCGATGCAACTCGTCTTTTTATATCGATACATATATCGCTTTAATCGAATACTTTCAGACAATTTTTTATAAGTTTTGTTACTAACTTACCAAAAAAGCTTTCTTCTATTGTTATTATTCGTATTAATTTAAAAAAATTATTTTATTTTTAAGACAGCTAGAGCCAGCTATTGGTTCAGTAAAGTCCTTTTTTTAATCTGCTGAGAGTCACGCAATTTTTACTTTTTGTCTAGCAATCCTTCCTTTTGATGATATTTCATTTTTGAAACTAAACAATTAACCAACATTAGCAGCTTCTAACGGTCGCAAGACTTGTATTATATATGACAGAAACTACAAATCTGGTTCATTCAGCATATTTTGTGCCGTTTTGTGATGAAGTACCATATCAGTGTGCAATTGTAAAACCTTCTAAATTGTATAGTACATGCTCTCATACTCAGCTTTCAACTGACGGATATACTCCAAGAGTGAACGTGATTGATTTTCAGAATTCTGCTTCAATTTTTCAATAAGTATATACTTTCGAAACTTTCCATATTTTAATTTAGACACTTAAAAAATACTGATATCGCTAGATGATAATAGTAGTGGTTGTGGGTCAAAAATTAAAAAAAAAATTTCCGGCAATTGTCGGTTAGTCTATATTGCTCATCAGTTGTGATATTTTTAATGTTGTACGTGACAATTAATTAGTTTAAGTTAATGCGCAGTTAGCTTCACTGTGTATGCAGCAAGTCAGAAGACCCAAATAATAATTGAACATCGAACCATACACGGTGACAGCATGTCGCCACATGGGACTGAAAATGCAACAAAACAAAACAACACAGCTTGCATCAAATAAAATTTGTTTTATAAAAAAATCGAATTGTTTCGATTAATCGTACGCAAAACATCGATTAAATGCGATACATCGATGTTAAGTCAATATCCCGAATCCCTAGTACTGCATGCTAATAACATATTTTTTGAGAGAAATAACTTAAAAGAACGATGCGAGCATGCATTGAAATTGATGATGATTACGATCACAATGAGAATGTAGAATATATTTTGGAAAATGTACTCATGCCTGATGACGGCAGCCCAGAATACAGACGCCTGAAGGATGATTACAATTCTCAGCTGACATTATCATGTAAATGTACGGACAATTGTAGTAACATTGTTTTCTGCTGCCACGGAGACGGCATTAAATACACTCGCATGAAAGGCGAATTAGTTTTATTATCAAGTGCAGATAAACAATTGCCATCTATTATCGAATGCAATGATCTATGTGAATGCCGGATTACCCCATGCACAAACCGAAGAGTGCAGTATGGGCCACGCAAAAATCTTGAAGTGTTTGAATCGCCATTGTATAAATCAAAAGGTTTGCGCACTACTGCTGATATTCCTTGTGGGGCTTTTATCTGTGAATATGCAGGCGAGCTTTTAACTATTTCAGAGGCTCAACGGCGGCTTGAACACATTGACAAAAATTGCCTTGTGAACTACATATTATGTCTTAATGAGCATGTAACACCTCAAAGTCCTTATCTAGTGCAAAAGCAATTGTTACTAACTATTGTAGATCCATCTCAACGTGGAAATATCGGTCGATATCTAAACCATAGCTGTCAGCCAAACTGTGAGATCTTACCCGTGCGAACAAACTGTCCTATACCAAAAGTTGGTGAGCGATTAGGTTGGTATATAAAAGTTAAATACATGCTTATTTCTGTTTGAAATGCTTGTAGGAATCTTTGCCAAACACGATATATATGCCAATGAGGAATTATGCTTTCACTATGCGGGGGAAGAGCATCGCGGAGGAATGTCTAATGGGAAACCTTGTCTGTGTGCTGCTCCTTATTGCATCGGTATTATTCCAAATACTCGCTTTTAGAAAATAAATAACAAGTTAAAACTTCGTTTAAGAACTGTTCATTTTTTAATAAACGTAAATAGTTTGGAAGTCATTCAAAGTTTATTAGAAATGTCCGTACTGAAAAGCGGCAACTTTTTCAATATCCATTCCTCCAAATCAAGCAGCGAGCGTTTTTTTAGTTCGTGCAATGTGCTTTTTAAGGGGGTGAATGTGCCTTCTATGCCTTGTTTTTGTAATGACTCAAATGTCTCTAGCCCCCATTCAAGTGGAACTAATGTATCGCGCTCTCCGTGGAACATTAGTAGTTCAGGAAGCGTGTTTTTTGGTGCTTTATAATTTTCCAGGGATTCATAGACCACAGATTGACGATTAAGGAACGATGAGTGTGCAAATACACCAGCCATACCAGTATATAGGTGGTAGCATGTGTGCAAGGCTAAAGCCCCACCCATTGAGAAACCACCGACAATTATGCGATTCAACGGGATGCCGTGGTCTATTTCATTCTGGATGAGTTGATGTACAATATCGTAACATTGCGACATGCTCTTCTTACTTTCCAGCGCTGCAATATTTACTGATCGGCGATCGAACCACACAGTGGAAAGCTCACCACTTAACGGAGTGTACTTTTGCATTGGAGCAGTTGGATATATCATTTTTACATGCGCTAGATTAAAATCTCGGCCTAGTAAAAACCGGACCCATTCTAGTAAATTTTGTCCAGTATCGCCAGAGCCGTGAAAAAAAATAACAGCCGCACTGTATTTTCGTAACGTCAATGTTGACATTTTAGATATTTTTATTTTGTTGCGATAAGGAATATCACGTAAACTGCAAAGCGGTCACAAAAAAATCAGTATGACCAAGAGTACAAAATACGAGCATGCTCTTTTCCGACATAAATATACTGAAAACGCCATAATTTCGTAATCTCTGCCGTTGACGTCGATAACACATTTGCACTTAAAATTAACTTAATAAGATCACACTATAAATTGTATATATTCTCATAATCCTAGCTTTCTTAAGCATAAGCTTAGAGTTTCATTGCATTTTAGATTGATTACAAATACATTTAATTACAAATGTTTTATTAGAATACCCATAATGGTATTTTAAGATTTATGGCAACACTGTGAGCGCCTTAGTTGATAGTTGTTCCCGTTTGCAGTTGTGAGTGCTACGAAATAATAATAACAAACGGTAGTATTATTAATGAATGGACTGCAAATAATTACAAAAAAGATATTGATGTTTGTGCAAGATTTTATTCAAACCAATTGCTTTAAATGGAAGTGGTCTTCATCTATTGAAATCCTAAAAACTAGAACTAGAAAAACTAAGATTGAAAAAATACCTACGTACATCGCGCTGCTTAACTTATCAGCTGTTAGTACACATACTAAAGTTTTTCCATTTGTGTATACACTCAAAAGAAATATTTTTTTCAAAGCAAATAATAAGTAACATACACAAAATGTTAAAATCTTGATAAATATTCGCTAATATTCATATGTATATTCAACTACTCATGACTTGCTATCCCGAAAATCAACAAGTTGTTGGGTGAATATGCAAACAATTGCATGTATAATGTACATACACATGAGCATATACATATCCACATGCCTTTATAATAATAAATCAAAAGTTCTTTCGGTCTTTCTACTGCCGAATACTTCTATATCTCGAGCATTTGTTTATATACACATACTCATGTTTGTATTTGAACATACTACACAT